ATCCTATCATTTTTCTGGCTGACGCAATATTTGCTTGGTTATGCTCCCTCAACGTTAGGTCGTCAGACATCATTATTCCCAAATCCTAGACATGCAGTTTTCCTACTATAGGAAGATTCGATTGTGTTTTGTACCCTGAATTATTTTTCAGATCCTCATTTTTGCCGTATCTGAGTAACTGGAATTTATCACTGTTAAACATGTTATTTTCTGCTGCCCAGTCGAAAACTTTGTTAATATCTGTTTGTAGTTTTTCAATGTCTTCAGCAGAGATAATTTTCATGCTGATTTTTGTATCATCTGCAAATGATGACACGAAGCTGTGACTTTTATTTTTATCTATATCTGCTATGAGAATAAGAAACAGCAGTGGTGCAAGGCCTGTACCTTGAAGTACAGAGCTTTTAACTGCGCTCGGACTCGATTTTATTTGATAGACTGTTACCCTTTGTGTTTTGTTCGACAGGAAATTAAGTATCCAGCGTCCCACTTTACCAGTTATACCCATTGACCTCATTTTGTGTGATATCACTCCATGATCACATTTGTCGAATGCCTTTGCAAAGTCTGTGTATATAACATCTGCATTCTGTTTTTCTTCTAATGCCTCAGTGATTTTGTCGTAATGGTCAAGTAGCTGTGAGAGGCATGAACTTCTCGCTCTGAATCCATGTTGGCCTAGATTGTGGAGGTCACTGGTTTCCATGAATCTAGTGACCTGACTCTTGATCATTCTCTCAAATACTTTTATTATGTGGGACGTTAGTGCAACTGGTCTATAATTATTGTCAATGCTTTGCTCCCTCCCTTGTGTAGAGGGGCTATGTCTGCTGCTTTCAGCGCATCTGGCATCTCCCCCGTGTCCAAGCTCTTCTTCCACACTGTACTGAGTGTTTGTGCTACTGGCACTTTACATTTCTTTATAAATATTGAATTCCTGAGTCTGGACCAGGGGCTGAGTGCATGGACATATTCTCAATTTCTCTTTCATAATCTGCTATGCTCGTGTTGATACCAGTTATATTTACAGGTGCTTGGATATCACGCATAAAGAAGTTGTCTGGATCTTCCACTTTCATGCTGTGCATCGGAGTGCTAAACATGTCCTCATACTGCTTTTTTAGGATTTCGCTAATTTCTTTGTCATCCTCAGTGTACAAACCTTTACTAGTACGAATAGGTCCAATACTGGCCGTAGTTTTTGCTTTTGATTTAGCATATGTGAAGAAATATTTTGACTTTTTCTTTATTTCTTGAATTGCTTTCTGTTCTAGTTGCCTTTCTTCAGTCTGATATGAATGCTTCAGTCTCTGTTCGATATCTTCAATCTCTCTGTTTAAATTATTCCTTCCTTGTATGGAGAGTCGTGTCTGCTTAAGCATTTCCGTTAATTTCTTCCTTATTTTGTAATGACGTCTTCGTTCTCTTTCTACATTGGACCTCTTTCTGGCTTTCCTCAAAGGAACATGTTTCAGACAGACTTCATATGCTTCAGAAGTCACTTTTTCTATTCTTTGTGTAGGATTTTTATGCCTTAGAACATTTTCCCATTGAATGTTTGAAAGTTCCCTGTTTATTTTCTCCCAGTCTATTCTTTTATTATTATAATTGAATTTATTGAATAACCCTTCTCGCTTGTTGTTTCTCTTGGGCCTACTACCGTTATTAATGTTAGTTTGCACTTCAATGAGCTTGTGGTCCGAGTACGTAGTGTCTGAGAAAGTAATGTCTCTGATTAGCTCATCATTGTTCGTGAATATCAAGTCGAGCGTGTTTTCGTTCCTAGTTGGTTCTGTAATCTGCTGACTGAGCGAGAATTTGTCACAGAATCTCAGTAGTTCTCTGATCTGTGGTTGGTTATTTCCAGGTTGACTTCCTGCTATAATGTCATTGTTTACTATTCTCCATTTTAAACTGGGGTAGATTGAAGTCTCCAAGGAAGATAATATCTGGTACTGGGTTTGCTAGGTTATCAAGGATATTCTCTATTTTGTGGATCTGTTCAGCGAATTCCTCAACTGTTGCATCTGGCGGTTTGTATATTAAAATAATAAGTAGATTAATATTTTCTACCTTGATTCCAAGTACCTCTACCACCTCATTGGACGATTTCAGGAGCTCTGTGCATGCCAGCTCCACTTTAATATACAGACGTACTCCTCCATTTTTACCTAATTACTCTGTCACGTCTATATAGATTATAATTTGCAGATTTGGCAGATTTCACTATCCATGTGGTCTTTTGTGTGGGTTTCTGTAAATGCACCAAATATTGAGTTCGATTCTATTAGGAGGCCATTTATGAACTTAACTTTATTTCTTGAATTTGGTTTTAGACCTTGTATGTTTGCAAATATGAATAATTTCCCTGGTACCTTTTCTGTGAATGATAATCTCTGTGACTCGGGAATGTTTTTAATCAGTTTAGTTAGGTTTTCCCACATTTAACTGTCATCTTTGCAAACCCGGTAAATTCTTTGAGTGTTTGTGCCTGCTGCACAGCTCAGGTGAAATTTTATGTCACAGATGCAACACTTGACGCCTGCAATACGTCTTCCAAATACTTCCGAACACCTGCCCACACCTCCATTGTCTAATGTATTGTATTATATTTGTGCTTCACTGTATGGGTCACTTGTCGATTTCAGTAATTTTACTATTTACAATATTACATGTATATATTTATAATATTTTATGTATACCGCATATTTGTAATATTATATGTTACTTTGTTCAAACATTATGGCAGGTACTTAGCGTAGGGTAGAGGAATGGTCGGGGTGTGATGTAGCGTTGACCCTTGGTGTCCCAGGATGATGCCACCACTTTACAGTTACTTGATTTATAACACTGATTTATTATTTGTTTGTATTATTACAAGGAATTCTCTGCCTAATTTCCGGCTTACAGTGGTATTTACTCTATTACTAATTCCTAGATCCACATTTCCATATTACACTATATATTGTCCGTATATTATCCCTGAGGGACGTGCCCTGGGGTAGGCCTCGTGGCCAGTGTAAACACAGCCTGGCCTACACACACAGCTGGCGGGACGCCGTCTCTTGCCGCTTTTCTATATTTCTAATATTCTATGCACGATTCTCCTACACTTCCAACTTATATGTGTTGTGTTACCCGTTCCACTTCACTGTTCCACGTATCACTGTTCACAATATTTCATATATCGCCTACACTCGTGTACACAGAGCCTCGTGGCACAGCTTCCACGTGGTCACGCGTTTATTCTCTATTTAGCACAGAGTTCCATCGTTAATGACTGGGTTGATGTGGGTTGTGTCAGAGTGTGGAGAGATAGTCAGGTGTGTCAGGTGGGTGGGAGGTCATAGTGTGGAGTGACATAGTCAGGTATGTGGGTTGTGTCATAGTGTGGTACAATATAGCTACAAGAAATGTTTGTCAGCGGACCATCATAGTGAACAATACTGACCAGTAGTTCACCAATACTGACCAGTAGTTCACCAATACTGACCAGTAGTTCACCAATACTGACCAGTAGTTCACCAATACTGACCAATATTTGACACAATAGTGTTGCACGATATTTACCTCGTGTAGGCGAGCAATATTAATTATGGTGATAATGCCTTCATTTTTATATGCAAAAAAATGGCACAATGGAAAAATTTGTATTGATGTGATGGTAATACATCCATGACACATGAAGGATGTGTCATGCTGTGGCACAATATGGCAGTTGGGTAATGCCACACGAAGGATGTGTCATGCTGTGGCATAATATGGCAGTTGGGTAATGCCACACGAAGGATGTGTCATGCTGTGGCACAATATGGCAGTTGGGTAATGCCACACGAAGGATGTCATGCTGTGGCACAATATGGCAGTTGGGTAATGCCTCACGAAGGATGTGTCATGCTGTGGCATAATATGGCAGTTGGGTAATGCCTCACGAAGGATGTGTCATGCTGTGGCACAATATGGCAGTTGGGTAATGCCTCACGAAGGATGTGTCATGCTGTGGCACAATACGGCAATTAAGTATCAGGCGATACGGGTGTCAAGCTGTTGAACACTATGGTTGATAAATGGTGATCTGGACAGTGAGTGTGACCCCCCAGATGGTGTCTGGGGAGCACCATGTCCCACACACACACACACACACACACACACACACACACACACACACACACACACACACACACACACACACACACACACACACACACGCACACACACAATAAGGACATTAAATATAAGAAAGTTGCGATATTCACACAGAAGCCAGGAGAGGTTCAGCTCGGAGGCTCTTAGTAATAGCAAGGAGGCTGCAGAAAGCGAGGCAAAATAAGCACCATTAATCAAAACTGAGTATCGTAAATTAATTACAAACACATCGTATTGACTTCTAAAGTCCAGGTATCACCGGGAAGGAGCGAACCGGATGGCAGGAATGGCAAGAATGAGTATAACATCAGTGTTGCAAGGCCATGCATGCGGGGGAGAGTGGTAGCAACACGACAGGCAGTATGTTGAAGTGGGGGTTGGGGGATGGGGGGTTAGGAAGAATAGGAGATGCAGCAAGAGTGGTGGGGGGGGAGAGGGGGCGTCCGACCCCCTTCTCCCCTCCGCTGAAGCCAGTACACTTGTGGGCGGCCCCACCTTCACGCCCACACTGCCCACCCTCGCCACCTACACGCCCACTACCACCGCGTCACCACCTAATTTATCTGTGATGGACGCGGAAAGTCTACGTAATCCACTTGCTAAATCTGTCCAGCCCAAGCGGCGGGGTGACACTGTGGGCGTGGGCGTGGGTTGGTTCCTCTGCGGCGGGTGGGCGAGAGTGTGGGCGGAGGGGTTGGATAGTTATACCGTACCATGAATGTAGCGACGCCGTGCCCCGCAGCGCCCTCACCGCCTCCTCCGGCCACAGCCGACACCACCTGCGGTTGCGGCCTGGGGTGAGCGACATCCACCACCTGCACCTTGGTGGGTGTGCCGCCTGCCGCCTCCTTTACCTTGAAGTCGCTCAGGGACGCCATCAGGTCGTCCAGCTCCTTGGTGGCAGAGGAGGCTGACGGCTGCGGCTGCGGCCTCATGGCGATCTGCGGCTGCGGCTGCTGCTGCGGGGGTGGTGAGGGCAGCGTTTGGTGGGTAGTCCGGAACTCGCGATGTACCGTCCGCTGCTCCACCACATCACTGCAACAACATCATCACTCATAATTACACAGTCATTGTAACAATCATATCAGTGCAATAAATACATGACTAGAACACCCACACCGTCACCCCTAAGAACACATGACTAGAACACCCACACCGTCACCCTAAGAACACATGACTAGAACACCCACACCATCACCCCTAAGAACACATGACTAGAACACCCACACCATCACCCTAAGAACACATGACTAGAACACCCACACCATCACCCTAAGAACACATGACTAGAACACCCACACCGTCACCCTAAGAACACATGACTAGAACACCCACACCATCACCCTAAGAACACATGACTAGAACACCCACACCGTCACCCTAAGAACACATGACTAGAACACCCACACCATCACCCCTAAGAACACATGACTAGAACACCCACACCGTCACACTAAGAACACACGACTAGAACTCCCACACAGTGTGGGATGTCGGTTTTCCAGATAATTTGAAGTATCGCTTGAGGACTGTCGGGGGTTCCAGATAATTTTTCAGAGTTAAAGACCAAAATTTTGCAAAAACTATTTTCGGATAAAGTGTTCATAAAAGTTTGTTAAGAGTTCTTACGAGGGAAATTCAGACCGAAAATCACTCATATGTTCTTAATGAGTTCTTATGGGTGAAATTCAAAATTTTTCAGAGCTCAGTTTCATGAAAATATTTCAAAGTCCATACAATCATAAGAGTTTATTTACGAGTTTATGACAGAAATTTGTAGAAAGACCATGTTCAGAGAATATTGCCATAGAAGTTTTGTTAAGGAAAATAGACATCTTAGCCGCAACGTTTTCAGAGACCAGTTGAAAGACCGAAAATTGGTCAGAGTTCAGTTTATGCCCCAAAATTTAACAGAGACCATTTTTAGACCAAAAATAGGCAGCGACCATTTTAGATTAAAATATTTACAGAGTCCACTTTGAGACAAAAATTCCTCGTAGACCACTTAAAACTTAAAATTCGTTCTAAGCCCAGTTTGAGCCCAAAAATATTCAGAGTCCATTTTCAGATCAATTTTCATCAGTCCAGTTAATGACCGAAAATTAATCAGAGTACGTTCGTAGACCGAAATTCGTCAGACTATTTTCAGAACTAAATTATTCAGAGTCCATGTAAAGACCTAAATTTAACAGTCTCCCATAAAGACCGAAAATTAGTCAGAGTCCAGTTTAAGTCCAAAATTTGACGAGTCCATTTCATGACCGAAAATTAGGCAGAGTCGTTTGAAGACCGAAATTTGACAGAGACCACTTTGAGACCAAAATATTTCATAGTTTTACTTACACTTGCATTCATTCTTAAAGAGTTCTCATGGAAGAAATTCAAATATTATCCGAGTCCAGTTGAGACTAAAAAATTTGACAAAGAACATTTAAAGACCAAATTTGTTAGAGACCGCATATATAAGTTTAGTTTCACTACTAACAGGCCAATTTTAGCCCAATTTTAAACTCATATTTCAGACGTAGTACAATAAATTGAAACAATTACCGAACTCTAGCTCATGTTCCCGCCTTAGTCCCCTGTCGTAGATTCAATACTAACAGTCCAATCCCCTAAAATTTAAAACCGCTGTATTTCGGACTTAGTAAAATAGAATAATTTAGTTACCAACCTCCAGTTCCTGTTCCCCGCCATACTTTACTGTTACAACTCTGTCAATACCTGTTCAATTTTCCCAATATTTAAAACAGATATCTTGAGGTTATCTTGAGATGATTTCGGGGCTTTTAGTGTCCCCGCGGCCCGGTCCTCGACCAGGCCTCCACCCCCAGGAAGCAGCCCGTGACAGCTGGCTAACACCCAGGTACCTATTTTACTGCTAGGTAACAGGGGTATAGGGTGAAAGAAACTCTGCCCATTGTTTCTCGCCGGGGCCTGGGATCGAACCCAGGACCACAGGATCACAAGTCCAGCGTGCTGTCCGCTCGGCCGACCGGCTCCCCGTTATACTCCTAACTGAGCAAGTAAATAAAATAGAGAAACTAAACTCAAGCTCTTGTCCCCTGCCTTAGTTCACTCTCGTATCTTCGTTAATACCCAATCACTAACGCATTCAAAGACGTCAAAATTACTACTCATGTCCTCAAAAGCTATTCTCAGAGTCATCAAAGACACACCCAAAGATATCAAAATTATTCTGTTAGACATCGAAATACTACTCATGTCCTCAATAGTTATTCTCAGAGTCATCATAAGTTATTCTCAGAGCCATCAAAAGTTAATCTCAGTCATCAAAGCTGTTCTCTAAGACACCTTCGTCCATCAAAGCTAATCTCTAACTCACCTTCGTTCATCAAAGAAACTCTCCTTCATCCATCAATGTTGTTCTCCAATGACATGGATTTCTTCTAGGGTGTTCCACCCTAGAAGAAATCACTCACCCAACCAACCCACCTAACCTATAGAGTCCGATCCATAGAAAACGTAACTATTTGTGAGCCGTTCATTTTCATAGTAACTTGCATTTCTTATGTTGGTTACCAAAACATACTCAATGTGCCCTATTAATTGGGAGGACGGATTCTATTACCCTTATTGCAAACAATTTTGCAATATATAATACAGTACCAATTTCTGCGAGATAAATTGGTACTGTATTATAGATCGACACTCAAACCTCGCAATGTATGGTATCTATTTCCATGATATCTATTCAGTAGCTAGACATGAAGGTCGTGTGACGGAACTACAGGGTCGTGTGACGGAACTACAGGGTCGTGTGACGGAACTACAGGGTCGTGTGACGGAACTACAGGGTCGTGTGACGGAACTACAGGGTCGTGTGACGGAACTACAGGGTCGTGTGACGGAACTACAGGGTCGTGTGACGGAACTACAAGGTCGTGTAACGGAACTACAAGGTCGTGTAACGGAACTACAGGGTCGTGTGACGGAACTACAGGGTCGTGTGACGGAACTACAGGGTCGTGTGACGGAACTACAAGGTCGTGTAACGGAACTACAGGGTCGTGTGACGGAACTACAGGGTCGTGTGACGGAACTACAGGGTCGTGTGACGGAACTACAGGGTCGTGTGACGGAACTACAAGGTTGTGTGACGGAACTATGAGGTCACTACGGAACTATGCCAGTGTCTCTCTAAAGTCCTCCATTTTGTTCAACTAAAGTGTAGCATTCTAGTACGAAGATGATACACTCGAGAGCCTATAGTGTCACTCTCTAGTACCTAAATGCCATGTCCCAGCAGCAAGTGTAACATCCTAGTACCCTGACGTCACTTCCTAGCAACAGAAGAACCTCCACAACCTTCCTGGTCACGAGGAGCCATCGTTGGAGTGTCCAGGAGCGAGGACACACTCGCCTCCCCCCCCCCCACTCAGTAAATCACAGCTCCAAGTAGTAACACTTAGTTTGCGATAAACCCATCAGCTGACGGCCCCTTAAATCATCCCAGCTCGGGTTTTTTTTCCCATGTTCCCGCCTAGACGGGTTTTTGGCGGTAGGCAGCGACTCCCGCCTCTCTAAGGCGGAAGCGGGAGGGGCTGGCACGCGCGTGCTCGCACAAACACACACACACACACACACACACACACACACACACACACACACACACACACACACACACACACACACACACACACACACACACAGTTGCTAGTCAGTTTCAGGGTGATGTACTCGAACATAGATGGGATCACAAGCAAGACAAGTGAACTAAGGGAAAGAGCACAAGAAGTTAACCCAGATGTAATCGGACTCACTGAAACAAAACTCTCTGGAATCATAACGAATGCCGTGTTTCCCCAGGAGTATACAGTAATAAGGAAAGAGAGGGAAGGTAGGGGAGGAGGCGGAGTGGCCCTACTCATGAGAAGGGAATGGAGTTTTAAGGAGATGGCCATCCCGGGCTGTGAGGAGTTCAGAGACTACATAGCAGGCACCATAACAATGGGAGGACCAAGAATAGTAGTAGCAGTAATATACAACCCTCCACCAAATGACAGGAGACCCAGTCAAGAGTATGAAAACAACAACAAGGCAGTTAACACTATAATTGAGAGGGCAGCCTCTGCTGCCTGTAGAAATAGATCCCACCTGCTCATCATGGGCGACTTCAATCACGGAAAGATTGACTGGGAGAACAAGGAACCGCATGGAGGCGAGGATACGTGGAGAGCCAAACTATTGGAGGTGGTGACAAGCAACTTTTTAACCCAGCATGTCGGAGAACCCACAAGGATGCGAGGCAATGACGAACCAGCGAGACTCGACCTAGTCTTCACTCTGAACGACTCCGACATAAGAGAAATCGGTTTTGAGGACCCAGTAGGAATGAGCGACCACAGTGTACTGGTGTTTGAGTACTTGATTGAAGAAGGGTTATTGAACTCGAGGAGGGATACCGAAACCAAAAGGTTAGCATACCGAAAGGGAAACTATGAGGGGATAAGAAAATTCCTAACAGATATAGCATGGGAAACAGAGCTCAGGGGAAAGACGGCCCAAGATATGATGGATTACATCACGCAGAAGTGCAAGGACGCAGCAAACAAGTTTGTCCCAGTCCAAAAGGAAAACAGAGAAATGAAGATGAGAAACCCATGGTTTAATCAAAGATGTAGGCTAGCTAAGCAGCAAAGTAAAAGGGCATGGAGAAACTATAGAAATAACAGGACACTGGAGAGCAGAGAAAGATACCAGAATGCCAGGAATGAATACGTCAGGATGAGAAGAGAGGCAGAAAGACAATACGAAAATGACATCGCAAGCAAGGCAAAGACTCAGCCTAAATTGTTGCATAGCCACATTAGGAGAAAAACAACAGTAAAGGAACAGGTTATGAGATTAAGGATAGGGGCGGAAGGATTCACTACAAATGACAAGGAAGTGTGTGAGGAATTGAATAAGAAATTCCAGGAGGTCTTCACCTTAGAGCAAGGAGAAATTCCAGAGGTAAGTGAGGGAATAGCTAACCAGGAACCACTGGAAGAGTTTGAGATTACCAGTGGGGA